TCCAGATAAAAAACTAAACCTCAAGTAACTGTTGTTGTCGACATCCGCAGCCGAATGCAAACTACTCCTTCAAGCAGTGACAAAAACGGTCCATCAACGAGTCTCCTTCGGGACAACAATTAAAATTGCCACGATACAGAGAATGAAGACCAGAATGGCACCAGTACAAAGATGTTGACATTCGAAAATCCAGAATCGGCAAAAAAAAAAAAAAAAAAAAAAAAAAAAGAAAAGGTCCACGCACCAAACTTCAGAAAAAAACTCAGTCAGAGTCTGCAAGTCCACATGAATCATCAGCAGCAACATAAGGGGACATAGACTTAGACAGGAACGTCTATAACTTGATCAAATACTCCACGATACGACATCCGGCCTCACCACCCCAAGATCTTATCTTTTTGGCTCTTTGCTGTGTCATACGGACACACTGTAGCTGGCGAGCTGCATGCGCAGTGACACATCGTAGCTGCATGCACGGTACGAGCTATAGCCGCATATTAGATGTATCATGATCCATGAGAGAGGAGCAGCATTGCGAGCTCTGCAACCTGTCGCCAGCATCCAGATCCGGAATCAAAAAGCCATGTCCGTTCAATCCTAAAGAAGTTTTAGACGGGTAAGAAGATCTATGGCATGGAAAAACTTGTGCTAACAAAACAGTCAGAAAAAAGAAAGTAAGTGTACATATGCCAAAACTCAGTTGGCCTGAAACGCTCTACGGCCATGCGACTGCAGCAGCAGTCTGCTGATCATATCTATCCTATTGCAACACGTACTAAGTGGCTTAAGTCCTCTGATTGCCGTGAGGTCACAAATTGCCCACACCTAAATCTAAACACGCGCTTCATGAATATTAATCAAATGCAGTGGAAGGCATTTGACAAGTGCAATCTATTATATCATACAATTGTGAGAGGATGAGTGACCTGAGGTGGGGAATCACACCCACCTCTTCGTCACCTACTCACATCATGATCATGTACCCTTTCCAAAACTTTTGGGTACAAAACAAGCAACCACGCACGGCACCTCCCTCCCCGAGCAAACACGGGAGCAACCAACAATGTCACCTCCGCAGTCCAACTACCTCACACCCACCTCTCCGTCACCTACTCACATCATGATGTATCAGATGTACCCTTTCAAAACTTTCGGGTACAAGACAAGCAACCACACATGGCATCTCGCTCCCTGAGCAAACATGGGAGCAACCAAGAAGTCACCTGCGCAGTCCAACTACCTTCCTTACACCCACCTCTCCGTCACCTACTCACATCCTGCTGATGTTCCCTTTCAAAACTTTTGGGTACAAAACAATCAACCACGCACGGCATCTCCCTCCCCGAGCAAGTACGGGAGCAACCAACAATGTCACCTCCGCAGTCCAACTACCTCCGTTGCTACCGAACCCTCCAGGCCAGGCGACAGCACTCAGTTCTGGCAGCTTTAGTCAGATATATTTGCCACTTTTCTCTGTTTAACAGTTATTAACCGCTATTGTCCGCAAAATGCCAAATTGTTATGCACATAACCATTTGGGATGATCCAGACAAGCAAACTACTTTCCAATGGAAAAACCTACTCCCAGGTCAGTGCCACAATTTTGAGATCGACACATATTAATTGCACTGACACATGCTAGTCGAGGTGCAAGAGGAAAGAGAACGGGTTTTCAGAGGGTGAGAGAAAAAAACTCACTACCGGGATTTCTCGAGGGCGGCGGCAATGAACTCTGACCGGAGAAGTTTCCCATCAAGATCAGTGATTTCTCCCAAGATCAGATCTTTCTCTACAGCTTCTAGTATCTTGCCAATGTCCTCCTCCACCAGCTCCTGTATATCCGGATCGATGTCTTCGCATGCAATGCACTGTCGTGATCGATTGTGAAAGGCCCTTTCGATGCCATCGATATCCCGCACCGGCGGCGACAGCTGTCTCTTGCGGTGATTCAACAGGACAAGGGCCACCCCTTCGCATACGGACTCAAAGACAGTTGTGTTGGGGGCTAGCCTTGTGATCTTTTCTGGCGAAACACGGTGAATGAGATGACAACTGGATGCATCTGCTGGTGGCGGCATACGACCATCGATGGTGCCCTCGGGGGTGGAGGTGGATGGGTGGATGTGGTCTGCAGCTGCAGATGACGGTGCGCTGGGAAGGGCATGAGAGATGGCACCTGAGCCATCGTACCGGGCGTGAATGACGAGTCGGTCTCCCATGGCTGCCTTCGCGCTGATAAACACATCACTCATCTTCTGCTGAAAGTACTTGAAGTACTGGAGGAGGCGGGAATCGCGGCGTATATCGTCTTTCGCTCTCTCCCATGGGCCTGACTCCTCCCACGACTGCCTTCCAATGTACCTGTTAATCATACCCTCTGCTACTTGAACCCTCCTCTCAAAGGACAGCACTTTCAGCTCAGGCTGGAGCCGATGGGCTTCTTCGGAGTCGATCATTTGATTTAACTGCACCTGCTCGTCTGCTTTACGAAACCACTTCGCGGCCAGAACCTTGTCTTTCATTACGCCTTGGCCTCTGAGATAGCAGAGTCCCAGACTGATCTGGGACTTGGCTAATCCTTGTTCAGCAGCCTTATGGTACCAATCTGCTGCCTGGACAAAGTCCTGCTGAATCCCCTGCCCCTTGTCGTAGCAAATCCCTAGCCGGTGCTGAGCCTCTGGGTCGCCACCTCGCGCTGCCTTCCTATACCATTTGACTGCATGCACAGTATCCTGATCGACGCCCTCTCCTTTGCGGTAGCACTCACCCATCCGAAACTGTGCTGTCCGATTGCCCTGATTTGCACTTCTTCTGTACCAATAAGCTGCCTGTCCCACATCTCTGGCGACCCCGTCCCCTCGCTCATAGCAGAAGCCCAGTCGGAACTCCGCCTCTGCATGCCCTTGTTCAGCTGGTGGAGAAAGGGCGCATGAGCCCCACACACACACAGCAAAAAGCAGGGGGGTTGCTTAGCAGGGATGTCACAGAAAGCACTAAACTCACACAATGCGCAAAATAGGGGAGTCACAGAAAGCAATGAACTCACACAATGCGCAAAATAGGCTTCCTCAGGGTATATATGCCTTTTGGCTACTTCGATTGGCCAATGGAATAGCAACCAGACTGGACTGCTGCTCCCCAGCATAGGATCCTTGTCTTGTTAAAAAAAAAACTGTTACAGGAACCAGACTGACGCTCCCCAAAATAGAAAGAGCTGAGCCTGAGCGGCCCCTCCTTTCTTTTAAATTCTAATAATAATAAAGAAAGGCATCCTGATGATGATGATGATGATGATGATGATGAACTTCTACTGATTCTATGTAAACTGTGATCATACTAATGATGATGATGCTTTTTTTACAATGAAATAAGTGATCCAAGTGAACCAAATCTGCTGCGAATCAGACACAGCTTCCCCCAAGGGTGTTACTACTGAACTAGCTTTGTGCCTCTTCACCCAATCTGGGCGCCAGAACGTCTTGAATACCAAGCACATAACCAACATATTAACCATAAAAGTTTGAGAGGAAAGAACCCCATACTCTTACTCCTTGCCTCTGTCCTAAATCAGGGAATTCAGAAAGAGTTCAAAGAGGCCTTAAGGGAATAGCAGGATTAACAGTACTCCAGTCGTTGAAGACCAACCGGTAATTCCTTTGGAAGGGTTCTTGCGAGTTCTCATGTGTACCTTCCCACATTACTTGCCCCATTACTTGCCCCAACCTCCCCCCTTGGTCTCCCCCAAGCCAACTTCTGTTGAACTGTTTGATGTGGTGCCAGATCTCATGTTGTAAGGATGGATGTTGGATTTTCTCTCTTAAATATTCCAATTGGACAATTCTGTTTGAATCTGCTGTTCAATAGTATCAGTAAAGTCTGGGCCATCAAGTCGCGCACCGTCCATTTCATAGGTACACCTTCTTGTCCAGATTGCCCAAATGATCGCCCTCCGACCAATTAAGAAATTCAATAGGTTAGTTGTGAATTCATCTCCTTGACCCGGAAGCCAGGTTTCCAAAAGGAGAGCTTTCCATTCCCAAGGCCAAGGCAGAGTGGTACCCAGTTGCTTCCAGATCCTATCCCACCATCTCCAAAGCCAGACCGACCCTGGGCATTGGAGGAAAATATGCTCAATTGTTTCAGGAATGAGCTTGGAAGGAAAGGCTGACTTACAGAACTGTTATGAACTTGGTTGTCTGACGATTTTCTCACCACTCACACATAGAGTGTCTGACACACGCCCATACACATACCAGAAAAAGGGGAGAGGAGACAGAGTCCAGACTGCACACAGACAAGGATAAGCAGCGGAATTCAACCATGCACAAATGGGGAGAGACACACAGTGATTCTCACTCTCTGACCGACTCCCAACAACCAATCACAAGAAGACACCTGCGAGGATAACAATCGGAATCACGCTGCTGATGAGCCAACTCAAACCAATAATCGTTACAGAGTTTATCCCAGTGCCTCGCCACCCTCAGAACTCCACACACCACTCTCTATTCCACACCCAGTTAGTAGCACAACACTGAATCCGCCTCCCAGAGGCCAACGCCAACCATCCAGATAAAGAACAAGAATCGCGATGAAATCTTCAGTGCCGATGAGTAACTCTGACGAAAAAGATGGCAGCTATGGTTGCCACACCACTGATGAAACCCTGACAATCTCTAAGGAGTGAAGGGCGACAGTGGTCCACCCACATACGCTCAGTGAAGAGCCTCCGAACAGCCCAGCCAAGCGCAGATACCCTCAGGGGTAGATGCTCAGCGGGTGCCCCAGCTGTGGCAAGCACCGACAGGCTGGTTATGGTTGCCGTCCACGATGAGGGTCTCAGGATGACGCATGTAGACAATCACCACCACCCAACTTGCTTGGCTCCAGAACGCTGTATCGCGAAAGTGAAATGCCAAAAGTCCCTAACCTACAGGTTCAGTCCTATTAATAGACTAGCCCACTCTAGACCTAGACCTACTGGACCGGTACCGCATCAGTTTGGCCTGTTCGGCCTGGGCCCTACCCGGCTATACGGTGTCTAACCCGTCTCTAGAGCCCAAGGCCCAGATGGGCCTGCTGTCCTAGTGATAGCCTGGGTCTGCTAAGGGCCGTAACGGCTAAGGGGAACTCGGGCCTGCAATTTTTGTGTAAATTGCAGATATGTCTCTCACAAATTTCCTTCAGGACTAGACCGGCGGTTAGTCCCTGACACAAACAAAATTACGAATCTGACCCTAAGACACGACTATACAACCTCGCAGTCAAATCTCAGCAGTAGAAATCAGCAAGTCATTGCAGAACTTACACCATGGATGAGCTATACCTCTTTGCTCTGACGAAGTTTTGTCAATAATCCAGTCATTCGTAGGGAGACATCCGTGAACTATTCGCCATTGTAAGGAGGCTACCTTATCTGGCTTAGCTTTACTTGTTTGAAACCACTTAATCCCTCTCAATTCATCCTTACTTATGTTGAGATTCTTAAGCCATCGATCCTCAATGCGGTCTTTTAAGTTAACCCTGGGGTGGAGCACTCTATAAGAGGCCTTAACCGAGAGAGTGTGTAAGGTCCTAGGATGGGAATGCCCTTGTTTTCCTGGGGAGGACCAAGTCCAATTCTGTGGATCAAAGGAAGGGGAGGTGAGAGATTGGCGTTTCTGGCCTAAGGGAAATCCACTTCTCTTTAACTTTTAACACTCTAATCCAAAAGAGTTGGTTAGTCGTACACCATCTTATATCATCCTGTGCTCTGGGATAGAGAACCCCATCATCTTGAATATCTAAGATGGATATGAGAATTTCTTCCGGATTACGAATTTCGATTGTGTTCCCAACTATCCCCTTTTGGTTTCGGATTGCCACCCAGTCACCCTCGAGAAGCTTAGGGCCATTTCTTAAGATTCTTATCCAATCCAAGGGGATTATATCAATTACTTTATCTAGGGCCACACTTGGATGGTGACAGTACCTCAAGCGATCGTTAAGGTCTGAGGGAGAACACCAATCTCTAATCTCGTAGTTCCATAAGTCTTTAACACGTATAACTGCTCTTCTAATCTACCCCTTCCAAGGGGCATCCATGCAATGAAGGATGCATCCTTGAGCATCTATGATAAACGTATTATTATTAAATAAGGGTTGTTGACAAACCTCCTCCCATCTCGTCAGGGGTAATTTATCTGGAAGGAGTAGCCTCCTCCAGTTCTTCAGTAATGTTATCCAAAAGGGCTCCTTGCTGCTTGTCTATCTGAGAGCTCCAAATGATGCGGTTCCTCTAGGCAGAGTCCAAGAAAGATTCTCAAGCCACATAAGAGGGTCTGCCTCAGTACGAGCGCGAGGGGCTAACCTTCTGATCTGCTCATAGGCGAGGAGGCTCCAAGGAGTGATGGGGTTAAAGATGAGACGTTTAATCCATTGTAAAGATAGGGCTACGACTTGGCTTTGGGGGTCAATGATCCCAAGGCCCCCTTTGGATTTAGGTTGGATTATAGAGAGCCAAGCAAATCTGCTGAGAACATTTTCCCGTTCATGATTTCCTCTCCACAAGAAAGCTGCTAACTGCCGTTGAAATAACTTAAGCGTAACTCTTTCTAAGGCCCAAATTGAAGATTTATACCAGATGGAACCCAATATAACGTTATTAATTACCAGGGTAAGGATGTGTGTTTGTCCTTCCACAAGTTTAATTTCAACTTGGCTTGTTGCAGGATCACTTCATTGTTGGTTGTAGGTTTGCCCGTGGCTGAAAGAGACACTCCCAAAACTTTAATTGGTTCATTAGGATGAGTCCACTTAATGCGAGGATATTTGAGGGGTCTCACAACTTAATAGTGAATCCACCATCAAAGTGTTTTATTACCCCAATTAACTTTCATATCAGAGAGTTTGCAGAATGTATCCATTAATCTCTTAATAGCCTCCAAATTTGTATGTGATGCATCAACCATCAGAGAGAGATTTTCTTCTTCTTCTTCTTCTTCTTCTTCTTCTTCTTCTTCTTCTTCATTTAAAGTAATCATGACCGTACTATGTACACTGCTCCATTCTAAACTACCCATCTCTTTTTTACTTCTTCTTTCTTCTTCTTCTTCGTTTAAGTAATCATGACCATACTATGTACACTGCTCCATTCTAAACTACCCATCTCCTCTTTGCCTCTTCTTCTTTCTTCTTCCTTCTTCTTCTTCTTCTTCTTCTTCTTCTTCTTCTTCTTCTTTTAAAGTAATCATGACCATACTATGTACACTGCTCCATTCTAAACTACCCATCTCCTCTTTACTTCTTCTTCTTCTTCTTCTTCTTCTTTTAAAGGGAAAGAAAATGAATCATGACCGTACTATGTACACTGCTCCATTCTATTTGAGGAAGCCTCAGTTCGGTTCCTCTTTTTCTCCCCCTTTGTGCACTTGAGAAAGCATCACATTCTTTCCAGTACTTCCATCAACTCAAGCATTTTAATTTTGAAATTTGAAGAAAACAACATGGACGGACGGAGAGGAAGTCTATACCTGCTCTCCTGTACCATTGAACGGCTTTCGCCATGTCTGCTGTGACCCCTTCCCCAGCTTCATAGCAAAGCCCAATGCTGCACTGACTCTTGGCATCTCCCAGCTCCGCAGCACGCACAAACCAGGCCGCACTTTCTTCCACGTTCTTTTCTACCCCTTGCCCTGTGGAATAGCAGGCCCCCAGATTATACATGCCATCGACGTCCCCGAGTTCTGCAGCCTTCAGGTACCATTTCACAGCTTCGCTTGTGTCTTGCGCAACTCCCTGGCCCTCGTCGTAACAAACAGCAAGTTGGTATGCAGCCGCAGGTAACTCTTGCTCTGCTGCCTTCATGTACCAGTGAAGAGCTCGTTCCAGATTCTTCGCGACACCATAACCGTCCCTGTAACAACACCCCTGCATCAAGAAAAAGCAACATGAACAAAAAGGGCAACTTTTTTTTTGTTGTTGTTGTTGCTGTCGATGTGAAAACAGGACCTTATGGTCCTGACTCCATGTCCATTCAGGGGGGAGCATCAGTCCGGTTTCTATTCCACTGGCAAGTCAAAATAGCATGATACAACATAGACCCACTCATGGATCCTTCCGTGTGAGCCTGCTGATTTACTCTATCCATTCGAGTGACCTTTCTGCCGTATATCTCGGTAGCATATGTAAGAATTGTGAGTGTTCCATCATATAGCCAGATTTTAGGGCAAGCCAAAATAACATGATACAACATAGGCCCATTCATGCATCCGACGGTGCGAGCCTGCTGATTTACTCTATCCATTCGAGTGGCCTTTCTGCCGCATTTCTCGGTTACCGTAGTCTATGTAAGAATTGTGAGTGTTCCAGCAGCATATAGCCAGATTTTATTACTTCCGTAAAGTTGACAGTTGGAGTTACGGCCGCTGTTTACTGGGGCTTCCATTCAAAGCTTATGTAACTTCTGCTTTTACACCTTCCCCAGCACCGCAGTATGGGCAGGCATCAGACTCTATACATCGTGTTAACACTTGGACAAAGGATCCCTGACCGGCATTGATTGCTACCAAATAAGGAGGATTAACTGCCAGCTTGCCCTTAACATGTATTCCTCTCAGGGAAAAAGGGAGACATTTGTAACTTCTACCAAGTCCTTGATCCAAAGGGTGTTTTTATGACCCCTCGGATGGAGGACCAGCACAATGGTGTCTTTCTTTGAGAGAGAGAGAAAGAAAAAAAAGACAGTGGCTAAAGTTTCGGCTGTTTCCCGTGTGTTTACTCAGTACTTAAGTCTAGTACGTTCAACTTTTGGCAAAAAAAATAGTTGGCGCCTGTTTGTACAGAGTGGCTGCAACACTATTAAGGGGGGCGGCTGCGTTGTGGATGCCTGTGTCTGTTATTTCAGCAGGCGATAGAAATTTGTCGACGTCTTCCTGGCTCTTGATGGTGGCATGAGCCTGCGGCTGCTGAGTTCTCAAGATGATGTGAGGTAGATGATACTCCGCTTTGTCCCTTGCTGCGTCCATGGGTTCCTTTGCTGCTGCGTGTGTCCCGCCCGCCCGTCCCCCCGCCTGGCTGTTCGCTTGCCTTGCCATCTAAGTGCCGTGTTCCCTCGGCGCTAACTGTGCTCCTTTCCTGCATGCCTCACCTTGCTACCTTGTTCCCTTGCTGCTAGCCGATATGCCAGGATGCTTTGCCTTGCTGCCTTACTGCCTTGCTACCCTGCTGCCTTGCTGCCTTGCTGCCTTGCTGCCCTGCTGCCCTGGCATTTCGCTGCATTGTGCCACTCTGTGTCTTGCCTAGAGGGTTTGCCGCCTTGTTGCCTTGCTGCTCTGCCACTTGCCTTGCTGCCTTCGTGCTTCGCTCTTTGCTGCGGTAATGCTTGCCTTGCTGCCTTGTTGTGTACCCCCCTCCTCGCCACCTAGGTTGCCCTGATGCCTTGATGCCTTCTTCCCGTGCTGTTTGCTGTGCGGCCTCACTGCCCTTCTCCTTTGCCTTGCCTTGCCTTGCCTTGCTGCATTGTTGTGTGCCTGCCCTGCCGCCCAGTTCCCCGCCCGCTTGCCTTGCTGCCTGCCTGCTTTACTTTGCTATCTGTTACCTTGTCGATGTTGTGCTGCATGCTTTCCTCTGTTTGCCCATCCACAACAGGATTTGAAGCTTGGTTATGCGGATTGTCGAGGGTTCATCCTTCTGATGAGTCGGTGTAAGTCTGACAAAACAGTCTTCTTTCGTGTGTATCCTTGGGTACTTCCTGTGCATGTTTGTTTGTTTGTTTCCAATTGCTGGCGCATAAGGTCTTGTGAGGCTGGATTGGTTATGGATGATTCTTGTAGTGTTGTGGAGTGACATGGCATAGCATACTGTGGGAATTTTCTAACACGCACACACACACACACACACACACACACACACACACACACACACACACACACACACACACACACACACATGCACAAACACATATCTTCCGTACTGCTTTTTATTCTTTGCATCAGCCCCCGTCATCATCGCCTGTCCATAGGCAGGCAATGTAAGCCTTCAAATCCTTAGAAACTTGCTCAATGCTGCACTGTGATGACCCACATGATGTTCAACTAGCATGCGATTGACATTCTTTATGTCCGTGAGGTTTACAAGTGTATAGCCCATGCAAGTTTTTGTTTTTTGTTCATTTGATGGCAGTTAACATTGTACTCAGGAAAAACACCCCGACGTGGCATGTCCTATTTGTCGACAGGCTGGAAGGGCAGTACCAATAAAATTGCCATGGGCATGTCTCTGTCCCCAGCATGTGGTAGACACTTCGCCCGCCTGTGACGTGTCTGTGCCTCGCAATTCAATACAGCTGCAACTGCAAGTATTGGATGTGGAGCTTCCGCAGTCCACACCCGAACTGATCTTGTCTGGTCTGCAAGGGTGCCCACTTACCATAGGCAACACCTTTTTCTCAGCTCATTGACAATTGTTTCTGCAGCCAAACCCCTGACTGGCTGCTTGTGCCAGTCTCCAGTCTCAAGCATCCTGCTTTGCCGGCGAGTATTGAGGACCGGATGAGGTACCTCTTTTCCCTGCTCTTCTCCTCCCTCCACTCTGCTACTTCTTTCCCACGCCCAACTTCTCTCCCTCCCCTTCTGCTCCTTCCCTTCTCCCTCGCCTCTCGCAGAACAGCTACATGCATAAGACTGAGCGTCGCTAAGAGAACATACAAAATATAAAGTGCAGATGTGCTGAAAAATATAAGCTGCAGGTGGGCTGAACAACAAACATGGGTGATGAAGACATGGTGGGCCTTGCACCATTCACTGCACTACAAAGAACCGGTCGTTTCATCTGAACATCAAAATGATAAATTTATTACAATCAACAATCGACTAAAACATCAAATAAGTTTAGATTGATAAAAGATTGTAAGGTAACCTCCAGATTTCTGGAGCAATCAATGCTGCTCAGGGATATCTTCGGCCAAACGGAAGGAAGCATGAGGGCGTTCTTGTTGTACTTTTGATGTTCCGGTGGAATAGGAACCGGACTGATGTTGGATTGCGGTGATCTTGGCGGTTTGCCGCTGGGGGTGCTGTGAGAAGTTCATTGAACCTTATCATTTAGAGGAAGGAGAAGTCGTAACAAGGTTTCCGTACGTGAACCTGCGGAAGGATCATAAAAAAAAAAAAAAAAAAGAACCGGACTGATGCTCCCCAGAATGGATATCAAGGAGCCAGGGGCCATAAGGACCTGTTTTATAAAAAAAAGAAAAAAAAAAGAAGAAAAGATTGTAAGGTAAAAGGCTGTTTGGATCTATGCATCTCGGTGGAAAAGGGGTGACAGTCTAGAACAAACACACACGTGCACACACCCATGCACAAATGCCCACCCCCACCCCCACCTCCACCCACACCCACACCCACACCCACATCTACACCCTCCCCCACCCACTCACGCACACGCACAATGTCACACGATGCCATCTTGCGATTAGCATTCAGCTGGTAAACTTCAGCACTGGAGATGCATCCTACCAGATGAAACTGTGCTTTTGCATGTCCTTGCTCAGCAGCTTTTCTGTAATACTCAAAAGCCTGAGCCTTGTCTTGAGGAACACCCATGCCAAGCTCATGACATTTTGCGAGTTCAAATTGAGCATCTGCCTCAGTCTGTGCTGCACTGAGCTTGAAAAGTTCTGCTGCTTTCATGTAATCCTGAATAACGCCTCCTCTGCCTGACATATAGCACAGTCCAAGTCGATACTGAGCCCTGGCTTCACCCTGTCTCACTGCAGCACAGCAATCACCACAGAATCAAACAACAACTCAGTGTTTGCGTATGATGAGACTCAATCATGAGAGCAATTGCAAATACAGTGAGATTCCAGCCACCTTTTATTTTCTTTTGTTTTCTTTTCTTTTCCGATAAAACGGGGCCTTTTTTTAATTTATTTTATTAATCATCCTTTCGAAAAACCGGTAAATTTGGAACAATAGTACGATACAGAGAAGATTAGCATGGAGCCTGCGCAAGGATGACAGGCATAATCGAGAAATGGTCCGAATTGAAAGAAAAAAAAGAACAAAAAAAAGGGCGTTTACGGTCCAGGGCCCTTTCCATCCTGAGGAGCATCGGAGAATCTATGCACTCTTTTTTTTTTAATCATGAGTGCTAGGGAAGTGTCTCCCTTTTGCAGTTTGGCCGACTTCGAACCATTGCAACATCCATCATTCAACTCGAAGCCCACATGATTGAAGAAAATCACGGTTGACACGAAGCTTCAATCCAACCTTGTACTGGAGAATCACGCCAGCAAAAACTGTATGAAACAAAGAAACATTTATCTCCACTTCGGCACATCATTGCCCTGGCCAGTCCGCAACAAAACAAGCACAGCAATAAGCCAGACACACTGGCTCTAGCTGCTCCCGGACTCTCTTTTTCCCTACAATGCTGACACATATAGCTAAGCATGCTGTTGCAGACATGCAGGTCTTCTCTGACTTATGCTTAGCTCCCCCCCTTTCCATATCCAGCACGCAGGTCAAGTAATTGCGTGCTGAATCTGCCACTTGCACTATTTGAGAAGCAACAGAACACACTGGCTCCAGCTTCTCCCAGACTCTCTCCTTCGCTACGATGCTGACACATATAGCTAATAATGCTGGTGCAGACATGCAGGTCTTCTCTGACTTATCCTTAGCTCCCCCCTTTTCCATATTCAGCACGCAGGTCAAGTACTTGCGTGCTGAATCTGCCGCTTCCTCTATTTGAGTAGCACAAGTGATAACAGCCCCTCCAACTCTCGACCACACTGGCCAAGAACCATCTGGAGCAGTAAGCTACCCAGAATAAAAAAGGGCCACGCGATGACGTATCCTGCCATCAACATCACAGGTAACAGGGATGTCCCTGTGACGCACTGCATGATGTGAATCACATCCCCATTAAAATTTTCCGGGCTTGACTTTGACTGGTGTAACGAGGTCCTGAACATTCAACTAAAAAAATGCAGTCTCCTTATCGCCTTGTAGGATGGATTCAGATCAATGGTGTTGCAGCGGTCAACTCTTCTTCTCCACAGGTCTAACGAGGTCCTGAGCTCTCATGCCCAGATGCAGTCTCCACAGAGCATTGCCTTCACCATTGCGGTTCACAATTGAAGTTGATCAGGGTCACCTCTTCTTCTTCGCTGACTTCTTCAGCGGGCTCACCTGCTCCCGTACCCTTCTTGACTGCCGCACACAAGCACATCATCTTCTACAACTTAGCTCTGATATGTTGTTTCTCGTAACTGGACAGTGCAGGCAAAGGCACGTGTTGACCGCTGTTCTGGTCTGCATAGCTGTAATCAGGGCTGCAGTCTCCCTTGTCTGGCTCTTCCTTGAGGGCACTTGGCAGCCTTGGCCAACCTAGATTAGGTAGTGGGAAAACTAGGCGCCCTGAAACTTGCAGAATTGTTCTTCCCGATCTGCATGATCAACCTGCTAGGCTCATCCTCTAGGTAGCTTTCACACACTGCAGTAATGGATTGAATTGCAGCCGCATCTGCCACACTCCGCACCTTCCATCCTCTCTATCCGTACTTCCTTTACACTACTGCTCCCATAAATGGCGGTATCTACTCTCGATGGCCTTAGGAGGCTTGATTCTCCTCATGCCTGCTTTGTTGCTTACCCTCCGCTTGTTGCTGCTGCGTCTTTGTTGTTGCTGTTACTTCTTCCTTTGTTTCCTGCAGTGCAGCAAGGATCATCTGATTGTGGTCCTCCTGCAGACCAAACGCCTGCCTCTCTCTCTCTCTCTTTCTCTCTCTCTCTCTCTCTCTCTCTCTCTCTCTCTCTCTCTCTCTCTCTCTCTCTCTCTC